AATACTCCTTTCGTAGAAATAACATTTTACTGACAACTATTTACCCACAATTATTTCACCGACAAGTATATTTCACCAACAAATTCATTTACCTACAGTTTATTTTACTGAAGCTCATTTCATCAACAAAATAATTCTGGTTATTGTTGTTAAAATCAGGTTAGAATTAAGATTAAGGTTGGTAGGATTTATAAAAAAAAGCTTGTAGTTGAAATGAGCTTCAGTGAAATAAACTGTTAGTAAAATAACTTGTCAGTAAAATATACTTGTTGGTGAAATAATTGTTAGTGAATTTTTGTCAATAAAATGTTATGTCTATGAAATAAATGTCAGTGAAGTGATATGTATCCTATTGTATAATTATATCAAGAGTTATTCTCTAATATATAACTATAAAAATTGTTATATATTGTGATATAATACCAACTCTTATTAATACTATTTATATGTATATATATTAGATTTTCTTATTTGTGCCAGTAATACTATTCAAAAAAAGAAATTTAATTTTGTAAATAAATAAAGTGTATAAAAACATAAATTTAGTATTATAATATTAATATTAGAAACAATATATATAGATTATATAAAATTTCATATCTAATATCTTTAATTAATATATTAAGTTAATTTAAACATTGAGTATTTTTTATAGTTAGTTATCTAAAGCCATATTCAATTATGTGATCCAGAACCAATAAATTTGTTTTTGATCAACACAATTTAGTTAAAAAGGACAAAACCAGATAAAAAAAATAAAAAATGCAAAAAATAGAAGAAAAAAGTATCGAAACCTGTCTCATAGTATTAATAAAAATATTAGAAAAATAATTTTACAATAAAACATATTCTAACCTTAACCTGAAACTAACTTTTACTTTAATTTTTATCAAATAGTCAAAAACGTATAATTGAATATAGTTTTAGATGTTTTTTTTAGGAGCTTGTATTACTGGCATAAATAAGTAAAGTATATATATATATGTATATTAAATTTAATTTAAAAAATATTATATTAACCTTGATTATCATCCAGTCATCAGTTTTTAAATAATTGTCTTGCATATCTGGATAGAGGCTAATAAGATGGTTAATAACATTTTAAATTTTAACAAGTCGTTTAAGCATTAAGAACATAGAATTTCAACGTGTTTCAATATCTATTTCAGGTTGAAGAAAAGGTTGATTTAACATTATAGAAATTCCTTTTATTTTCTTTAACAATAATGGTGAGTTCCTTATTTTTTTACAAAGTTTTCGTGCTTTTATAACTTGTTCATTATAATGTTTTTGACCCTCTTTTACAACAAGGTTTAATATATGAGCACCACAATGGATATATATTAAATCTGAACAAATAAAGTTCTGAAGAAAGTTATAGCAAGTTTTATTATTTGTTGCATTGTTTGCAGTAAATCCAATTAATTTATCTTTTATTTCAAATTCTTCCAGACTTTCAATAACTTTTTTTGCAAGGTATTCTCCAGTATGTGAATTATGTAATAGATTTAGATCAAGAAGAAGTGTTTTAATAGCCCATTTATCATCAACCCAATGAACAGTTATACCAAGATAAGGTTGCTGTGTACATGAAGTCCATATATCTATCGTGAGAGCCAATTTGCTTTTATTATTGTTCAATACTTCTTTAATATTTAACTTGGCTAGTTTATATTGTTTTTTAATATTTACTGAAAGTGTTTGGCGACAGGGCAGTTTATATCTTGGGTCGAGATTAAAAATAAATTTTATGAAAGAATTCTCTTCAACAACTGAAAATGGTTGTTAACTAGTAATAATCCACCGAAATAAATCTATATTTAAGGACTCTACATGATATTTATCAAATAACGTATATGGTAAAGGACAAGCAGAATTTTTTATAAACTCATTATAAATAGTTGGATGTTTATTTTTGAAATAAAGAGTTATTATTGATATTGATGTTTTTGCTCCCCATTTACTATTGCATAGTTTGCATTTTCGAATACCATTTTCTGTTTCTTCAATAAACTTTCGAATAGGAGCTTGAGCTCACTTTTTTGATTTTTGAATTGTAATGCTAGTATTAAGATTATTTTCAGGTAAATTGATTGTTGAAGAAATTGAAATTAGGAATGAATCAAAGGTAAAAGAAGAAATAGAAATTGGAGATGAATTAGAAAAAAAAAGAAGATATAGAAATTGGAGATGAATTAGAAGAAAAAGAAAATGAAGATGAGCTAGGAGTATAAGAAAAAATAGAATTAGAGATTGGAGAAGACAAGGAGTTAGAAACTAAGAAAAGTTTAGAGAAAGTATGAAAATTGGTAATATAAAATTTTTTAAGACAAAAAGTTTGATGAAACGAAAGTTTTTTTTAAAACAAACAGTTTTTTGAGAGAGGTTTTTTTATAACAACCGCTTGAATTTTATAATGATTACTACTAGTTTGATTAATTGATTAATTGATTATTAAAATTTATAGATCAAAAAAAAACAAGAAATTCCTTAATTATTAGTGATTAATCAATTAATTAACTAATTAGTTAATTAAACAATTAATTAATTATAAGATATTGGTCATATAATGATTGATATCATCGCATAATCCAATATTAATGTTATTATGCAATTATGATTTATAAGATATTGGGTTATGCAACGATTAATATCATAAAATTTGGTTTGTCAGAACAAATAATTGGCTGACATATACTATGTAATGATATGTTTCAGCTAATTATTTGCTCTGACAAAACAAATTTCATGATATTAATCATTGTATAACCAAATATCAATGTTATTATTAGTGATGGGATTTTTTAATTAATAATTACAAATTTTTAACGATTAAAAATTAAAAATGAATTCTTAAATTAATAATATTTTTTAATGATTTAATAATTAATATATCTTATATATATAGAAAATCTTTATTGAAAATGAAATAATTAGGAATTTAATTAAATTATAAAGATTTTTTAAATACCTTTTGTTTTTCAGTTTATTTGAGTACTTAAAAACTAGAATTATCTATAAGTATATTTAGAATTTAATATGTATATAGTTTATTTGAGTACTTAAAATTAGTATTATTCATAAGCATATTTGAAATTTAATACGAAGAACTATTGTTAATATACATATTTTTATGATTTATTGCTGATTATATCATTCTATCGATACCTTCTATGCATCGAGTAAATTTTAATTATTAAATCATTAAAAATTATTATTAATTTTTAATTTTGAACTTAAAAATTAAAAATTAAAAAGTCCCATCACTAGTTATCATGCAATTATAATTATAATTTATGAGTTATTGTTGGCTAACTAAGTTTTAATTTGGGATTGTTGTGCTTATATAATAACAGATAACATATAAAAAATAACAAGAAAAAAATCTATGATTATTTTTTTTTTTTTTTTTTTTTAAGGTGAGGTCATGCCTCTTGTATTTTTTATTAAATCATAAGTTTATACACTACTATACAACCTTGTTGCTCACTCATGTACTTGCTAATTGACTAATTACAGAATACGAGACTCGGACTACTTTATCTGTGACCTAAATCTACCAGAGCCTTAATATCCAATCTGGATTTTGTGTACTACCCCAGTCAATCAATTTCTTATCCATAGATTCACCACATTTCTCATATTAACAACAGGATACTTCTAGCTTGGTACTCAGTGCGGTATCCGTTACCCAGCAATCGTAGCCTCACGGTTACTTCTAATGTTAGTGTTGTGGTTTCATACAATGTTGGTCATATGCATGCAAGTTTTGATAACAGGTACTTTCTGAATTGGTGTATCACAGGATTGGGCGTCGAAACTTCCAACCGAGTTTTTCGTGACTGGGTCACTTCCAAATTAAGGGTATCTCAACCCCCTTGGTTCTTACTAATGTTGGTATTCCTAGTGTTACATTTTGTATTACTACTTCCAGTTGAGTACAACCTTGCCGTTCTTTGTCGCGTTTTAAGCATACCCCAAGTTGCCTGCCGATCTCTCTCTATTTAGGTAATCTATTTTCTTGATCTGATATCGTACGGAATGCCAGAGGTGCTTCTAATTCCGAATGGACCAATCCTTTACCACAAGTCGTCCTCGTGTTTACCACTTTTCTCACTACTCCAGTTTTGTTATCGTCGAACACGTTCCCAATCAAGTACTCCAACCACTGGGGATGTTGGTGCTGCCCCGGTTACCCCTAATTGAGGACTTATCTATGCAATCTTGTATAACAGAACCTTCTATGGCATACAACATCGTTGCCGGTACCATACGTAGTGCCATCACTCCACAATTAGACCTCCTTTCAGAAATTTCCTTTTTCAGTTTCGTACTTGTACTTGGACTTAGCCACAGGGCTCCGCATTCAATATAGCTTCTTTTTTGGGTTACAAAAGTGAAAAATCCTAAGATTTTTGCCTCCAGCCTAACTTGAACCGTCGACCTAGTCTGTGGGTTTTGGCAGCTTAACTACTAAGCTATAGGGCTCAAACCCATAAAAAAAATCTATGATTATAAGAGTTTGCATGATAATATAATTTATAAGTTATGGTTGACTGAGTTTTAATTCAGCATTGTTGTACTTATGTAACAATGTATATAAAATAATGAAAAAATCTATAATTATAAGAGTTTGTACAATAATTAATTGATTAATTAATTTATCAATTAACTATTTATAAAAAAAAATCAATCAATTAATTAACTGACTAGTTTATTAATCAATTAATTGATTATAAACAAAATTACTAAAAACATGAACTAAGTTCATGATTGATGATCATCAAGAACTGAGTTCACGATTGATGACTACCAGGAACTGAGTTTATGATTGATAACTACTGTGAACTAAGTTTATGATTGAGATAACAACTGTAAACTGAGTTCATGATTAATAATACTGTAAACTGAGTTTACGATTGATGACCATTGTGAACTAAGTTCACGATTGATGACCATTGTGAACTAAGTTTACGATTGATAACTACCAAGAACTGAGTTCACAATTGATAACCTGAGTTCATGGTCACTTTCAAGCGCCTCAATTAGAGATGGGCAAGGTAATAATATAAGTAATAATTACTTATTTTTTACCCCAATATCTACACATACATATTATTACTAATTATTCTTATAATGAATAATTATTACTTATTACATTTTATAAATATAGAGTACTCTCAAGCATCTTCACAGAAGTCATTTCTAAAAAGTTACCTCAATTTATTGCAAAATATTTATTAAAGTTTTGACTTGTATGTTTAAATTCTAATTATTTTTTACTTTAAGTAATGAAATTTAAATTATATAAGACAAATGTTCAAATTTGTATGTTAATAGAAAATTCAACACGTAACTTTATTCTCCAATACTTAATAAGTTACTTGTGAAAATTTTAAGGTAATTCTTCAGGTATTCAATAAGTTGCATCGTTTTAAAGTAATTAAATTTAATGTTAAATTGATATCGATATGTAATATGGCAATAATTAAATTAATTTCATTCGTGTAATGTGAAAATCTGTAATATATCAAATTCTATAGTTTGCTCAAATAGTTTTGATTTACTTAGTTGATTTGCCACCCCAATGATAGCTATAATTAGAAAATATAAGTTGTAACTACAGAACTTTTTAACTGAAATAGATTTTTTTAATTAAATCAAACTACAAATATATTTTATACTGCTCAAAAACTATATTTAGACTTCTAATTTTTAATATCAATTTTATATATTGATATACATATTTACCTAATCTTAACTCACGTCTAATTCTAATATTTAATTATTAGAAGAATTTACAAATAAGGGCTCAGAAAGTGAAAATAATTACAAATACGGGCCCAAATAAAAATAATTATATATATAAAGGCCTAATTTTCAAAAAATATTACATATAAGGGCCCATGTTATTTAAGTAAAGTTGTTGGTGAAACCAATCTTCAATGGTGTACTATCGGTGCACCAGGTGCACCAGATGAAGCTAGTGTACCAATAGTTATAGATGAAACTAATCTTTAACGATACGCCATCGGTGCACTATCAGTGCACTGTTGGTGCACCAATGGTTCTGGTGAAACTAATTAGTTTCACCAACAACTCTATATTCAAGCCTGTAGCTTGATTATTATTAGCATAAGAAATATAAGCATTGATAAATGTAGTTATAAAGCACACAAAAAATGTAACTATCGATTGTAAATTAGTAAGAAAAGATTTTTTTTTTTAAATTAAATAAATTTAATTTTCTTTGTATAAAATTACTTATTGTTATAGCAAACCGCCATGATATTAAATAAAGCACTGTGAATTGGCATGACATAACTAATATGAAAGATGTTCGTTCAGCTCCAAAGAGCTACTCTGTTGAAACTTCGTCATCTTATAAATAATTGTGCTAGTTAAATGCTAGTTTTTATACAGTATTTAAGCAAAAATGATTATAACCAGCACTTCATTTACCCTTAAATTTAATAATCAGTGTATAGATAACTTAAATGCCCATAATAAAACTATCAATAATCTTATAATTGCAATTTTGCAATCATTATAATTCAAATGGTCATAGTACTTAGTGGCACAGTAATTTCATGATCACATTTTTCAGATTTGGGCCCTTATATGTAATATTTTTTAAAAATTAGGCCCTTATATGTAATTATTTTTAATTTGGGCCCGTATTTGTAATTATTTTCACTTTCTGGGCCCTTATATATGTAAATTCCCCAATTAAAAATAATTATATATAAGGGACTAATTTTTAAAAAATATTACATATAAAGGCCCAAAATAACTGCGATGTTATTAGCTTGATCGTTATTAGTATAAGAAATGTAAGCATCGATAAATGTAGTTATTAAGTGTAAAGATGGGGTAAAATTCAATTTTAATTTTTTTTTTTTTAATTTTTTAATAATTCAACAATAATTTCTACATAATATTTGTATAAATTAAATATCAAATAAATATTTTATTTGATTTAATTTAGTTTTAATTAATTTTCAATATAATCTTTAATATTTAAAAACTAATTTTACTAATTTTTACATCAAATAATTTCTATAATTTCAACAAAAATATTTTATTAAGAAAGATAATTTCACATCCATCTATAATTACGTGCATAAAAAATGTAACTATCGATTGTAAATTAGTAAGAAAAGAATTTTTTTTTAAATTTAATAAATTCATTTTCTTTGTATAAAATTACTTATTGTTATAACAAACCACTGTCTCAGCTCAAAGAGCTACTCTGTTGAAACTTCTTCGCCTTATAAATAATTGTGCTAGTTTAACGCTATTTTTTTTATTCAATATTTAAGCGAAAATGATTATAACTCTAGATGCTTATAATTAAACAATCGATAATCCTATAATCGCATTTTGCTATCATTATAATTCAGTACTTTGTGGCACAGTAATCCTGTGATCACATTTTTTCAGCCATCAATATATTTGAGCCCTTATATGTAATATTTTTTAAAAATTAGGCCCTTATATGTAATTATTTTTAATTTGAGCCCGTATTTGTAATTATTTCACTTTCTGGGCCCTTATTTGTAAATTCTCTATTTTTTTTTATCAATACAATAATATCAGATGATCTGAAAAACCAACGAAAGTCTGAAGATTCAATTTCCCAAATAGGTCTAATTTTTTTTTAATTAATTACATCAACTACCAGTTTGTAGGTATAATGTTCAATTACGCATATTCATTTATTATTAAAGAATTACTGTATGTATAATTTGGCAATGACCGGTTTATAATTTTAGATATGTGATTTTTATATAGACTGATGAAAAAATATTTTAAAAATATATAGCTTGTTTAAAATATGATAAGCAAAGAAAAATTTTTTATTCATTTAGCGAATATAAAGCTAATAACTAGTTACTAGTTATACTATTAATAACTAAATCAATTTGTTCTAGGGAGAAGTTGGAAATAACATTTGCACTTGTTGTTTTGATTTTTTCTATTTTGTCAACACCAATTGCCCTGAATAGTTTGTAAACTTTGTTAGTTTTTTCGACTCTTTTTCTTAAAGTTTCCTGTGTAATAGGAATACGCTTCAGAAGTTCATTATACACTTTGCTTGTTGCAGTTTTTTGAGTTAGCCGACGGTCTTTTAACTTTTCATTAATTTGATTTTCCAACTCTTGTAAAAAGTCGTACCAGCTACTAATTACCGCTTTTTTCGCTTTAGATTCATTATTCTCCATACGTATAACTTTATAATAAAGTCGTACCAATATTGGATCATTAATATTTTCATTAGTATCAATAATATTATTGTTAGTATTATTGTTTCCTATTACAGAATCCTTTAATTCTTGAATCAAACATTTTATTTGGGTGTTCATGGTAACAGTAGTAGTGGTAGGTGTGGTGGCTGGTGCAGGTACAGAAGATATAGTAGCGGTAATGGTGGTAGGTGCAGCGTTGGTCGATATAGGTGCAGGTGTGGAAGTCGTAATGGTCGATATAGATAGAAGTGTGATATCAGTAGTAGTGATAGATGCTGCAAAAGTCGTAATATCAGTAGTAATGGATTGTGGTTCAGATGTGGAAGTTGTGATATTGGTAGTAATGGATGTGGGTATAGCTGCAGAAGTCGTAATATCGGTAGTAGTGGATTGTGGTTTAGATGTGGAAGTTGTGATATTGGTAATAATGGATGTGGGTGTAGGAGCAGAAGTTGTGATATCAGTAGTAGTGGATGTCGGTATGAATGTAATGAAAATGGGCGAAGTATCAAATTCAGAGTTTAATAATGATTCAATAGATCTGGCTTGTCGGGAGATTTGAACTTCCGAATTATCATCGCATTCAGAATCAATTATAAGATCTTTATCCAACTGTGTAGAAATTCCTTGCGTGCTTTCTTGACTATAATAATTTCCAAGCTTAGTCGACTCAATACACTCTTCTTGGCATAGCGGACATTGATTATTGGTGCAACATTCTATACACGATTTGTGAAAAAAGTGTTTATAATTTAAAATTGTTATTGACTCTTTAAGTGTTGGGTCAATATCATCTTTGCATATAAAGCAAAGATCTCGTTCGTGCAAATTAACATCTTCTGAAACTTCAGTTGGTGCTTCGCAGATAATAATTTTGTAAAAAAAATTTTTTAATGTATTCATTTTTTTTAAAAAAAAATATCTAATCAATGTCCAATTTATTTATATCTATAAGCGACTAATAATACAATTTTTATAAAGACGACATCTTTACCTATATGTAATAAAAACTGCCAATATTATATTAAATGTTGTAAGTAGATTATTGTGGTTTTTGACATTGTGAATAATGCGAATAATGCAAATACTTGAATATTTGATTACTTTAGCGCATTGATCAATGATCGATGCCCGATTTTATATACATATGATGTAATTGTTTAGTCAACAATTACATCGTATATATGTAAAATCGGGCATTGATTATTGATCAATATGCTAAAGTAATCGAATATTCAAGTATTCACATTATTCGCATTATTCACATTATTCACAGTAGCAAAAACATTGTTTTTGACCTACTTAAACTCATTTTTATTGATCTACTATAGTAATATACATATGACTATAGGATGATTGCATAATTAATCCGTAATAAAATTAAAAATTTATTAAAGCCTGTATAAGGCCGTTCAAAGTTAATTAGGGTAGCTGCATGACGTAGTCATGCTCAAACCAGGAATGTAATAGAAGTAGTAGATATATACCGGTAATTCGAGTTTAGTCAAGAACTTTTTCAATAATTGAATACATTTCATTTCAAATACTGTTTATCTTTAAATTAACTTAAATTTGCAATATACCTATGAGCTAAAACATGATTTTAGAGTTTATCTAAACTACAAATCAAAATTTGGGTTATGATTATAATATACAATATTTTAATATTACTATGTATATATATATATATAAGTTATGCATTACTTATAAGAAATTTTCTGATAGTGAGTAGTGGAAACGATTCGAGAATCTCATATATAAATTATTAGTTGTGTAATAGTAGAAACGTTTACCGAACAGTTTGATTGGTCGAAAAAATTGATCGTAATAATCACTTGGGTCAAAAAAACCTGAAGCTGCGACCACCAATTTTTTTTCATAGAGTTGTGCTGATTGGTTAAAATTTATCATTGATAGAGTAATCAAAGAGATTGCTCAAGCTCAAATACTCTTTTATTTCAACAAGAATCTCATATATAAATTATTAGTTGTGTAATAGTAGAAACATTTACCAAATGGTTTGATTGGTCAAAAAAATTGATCATAATAATCACTTGGGCCAAAAAAACCTGGAGCTGCAACCACCAATTTTTTTTCATAGAGTTGTGCTGATTGGTTAAAATTTATCATTAATAGAGTAATTAAAGAGATTGCTCAAGCTCAAATACTCTTTTATTTCAACAAGACCGTCGTCACTACCAATAAATTATTATCCTACTCTTTATGCTAAAAACTCTTATAACAAATAAAAAACATTCAAAGTTAATATTCAAAGAATAAAAAATCAATTTTTTATATGTTGTATATATATTTTATTAAAATAACATTCATGCTTCATTATATTTCGATATTGCTTCATTTAACGTTAAAGAATCTATATAAAGTTGCATTGGCGAATATGGTTGTTTTCATAATGACTGTATAGCCAACTATGGCTGATGTTGCAATAATAAGTTATTTGTGAAATTGTTAATAGGGCGAATGTTGGAGGCAAAGTTTCAAACGTCAAAGTCTTGGGTGCTAATTTTTAGGTAACTGGGTAATCGCCTTTTTTTTCTTGGAGTCATAATAGAAATAGATTGAAGGAGATAGCTCAAGCATCAATCGCAGTCTTTATTTGAATTGATCGTAGCGTTTGAGCGTCATCTTGATCACTTGTCAATTGCATTGAGCGTGCAGTTTGAGAACACCCATAATTACCATGATCACCATGAACTGAGTTCACGATTAAGATGACTACCGTGAACTGATTTCACGATTAAGATGACCACCATGAACAGAGTTCACAATTGAGATAACTACTGTGAACTGAGTTCACGATTGAGATAACTACTGTGAACAGGGTTCATGATTGAGATGATCACCGTGAACTGAGTTCACGATTGAGATGACCACCGTGAACTGAGTTCATGATTGAGATTCTTTTGTGAACTGGGTTCACGATTGAGATGACCATCGTAAACAGAGTTCACAATTGAGATAACCACTGTGACTACCGTGAATTGAGTTCACGATTAAGATGACTACCATGAACTGAGTTCACGATTGAGATCTACCATGACCACTATGAACTGAGTTCACGATTGAGATGATCACCATGAACAGGGTTCACGATTAAGATGACTACTGTGAACTAAGTTCACGATTGAGATGAACACTGTGAATTGAGTTCATAATTGAGATAATCACTATGACCACCGTGAACTGAGTTCACAATTGAGATGTCCACTGTGACCACCGTGAACTGAGTTCACGATTGAGATGACCACCGTGAACAGAGTTCACAATTGAGATCCACCATAATCACTATGAACTGAGTTCATGATTGAGATGACCACCATGAACTGAGTTCACGATTGAGATAATCACTATGACCACCGTGAACTGAGTTCACGATTGAGATGACTACCGTGAACAGAGTTCACGATTGAGATAACCACTGTAAACAGAGTTTAGGATTAAGATAATCACTGTGAACAGGGTGTACAATTAAGATAACCACCGTGACCACCATGAACTGAGTTCACGATTGAGATGACCACCGTGAACTGAGTTCACGATTGAGATGACCACCGTGAACAGAGTTCACAATTGAGATCCACTGTGACCACCGCGAACTGAGTTCATGATTGAGATGACCAACGTGAACTAAGTTCACAATTGAAGTGATCACCATAAACTGAGTTCACAATTGAAATGACCACCTTGAACAGAGTTCACAATTGAGATAATCACCATGATCACCGTGAACTGAGTTCACGATTAAGATGACCACCATGATCACCGTGAACAGAGTTTACGATTGAGAT